CGACATCGATTGTCTCATCAAAATAATTAATCACGTTGCCGACTGATTGAATCACGACTCAACGATATGGTACACTTTATCCGTGTGTCATAACACTGTAATGATAACGTATTGGTCGTGTAGAGGTACGCGTGTTTTTTTTTTTTTTTTTTTTTTGAATGTGTATTGAAAAACCATTATTAATGCATTTTGTTAAACAATGTACGACCGAAAATCGGTGTTCACTTATACTACAATGATTTTACACCACACGTGTGTTTCAGGTTTGTTAAACGAGCCTTTAACGTGTTTCATAATAAATCATGTGGATTAATACGACACGAATTAAAATCAAATTATTTATTAAATTAATATTTCAATAATATGTTTAACTATAGGACTCGCTATTCAAACCCATTTTAATCAATTTATTATTTTTCTAAAATGTTAAAATATTTTATTTTTTTTTTTTTTTTGTTTCTGTGCAATATGGATATAAAAAAATGTGACATCACAGCATGTATAAAAAAGTTACATAACACTTTAATTTTGTAAAATTGTGGAGTGTTGATTATTATTAATACTGTATAAAATAATATTAAATACTATAGTCGTTTATTTGCTATTATTTTGTCTTTAATACGTCAAATAATGAAATTAAGTCAACATTTGGTGATTTAAAGATCAGGTTATTCAACATTTTATGTTTAATAAAAAATAGGCCCGTGTTTGTACTCGTGCACTATATACTATATATACTATAGTCTATATGTCTCCCTCGATCATCAATTATACTACGCTTTATATTATTAACTTTATATACATATATTTATATAATTTTCTTCTTAGAATTTTTCAAAAATTATTTAGCCAATCAAATGACTGGGTAAAAAAATAATTAATTAATGAGTACACGTTAGAAAAAAGCAAACAAAAATAATAATAAATTGTTTTTAAAGCCAAAGTCATATTTCAATAAATTTTAACTTTAATAAAAAACAAATTTTCAGAAAAATGAAATTTAGTTATATACACACTCGCCTTTGTACAAGGTATTTGTTTTAATTTATCTGGTTTTTAACTTATTGTTAAAAATTATATTAAAATAAAACTTTTAATGTGCACTTGAACAATTTTACATCCAAATCCAACACTAGAAAATAAAGTATTTTAATGTTTTTTAGAAAAGTTAAAATCTTTATTTCTTATATAGCTTTTTATAAGGTCAGATTTTTAGCTTTTGTTGTTTCGCTTATTTTTTTTTTTTTATAACAACTATCATTATGCCACTCAATGTTCAGACAAAAGTTGAGTGAATAATTAATCTCATTAAACTGATTATTATAGAACAAAACCATACTTTAATCGATAAATTAAAACCATTATTCATCTTTAAATGCCAATGGTGTTAAAAATATTTTCCCTCTATTTTTTCAAAAACAAAATAAAACTTATTAAAAAAATCCTTATTACCTCCCGATTTGGTATTATTAAATTCTGATTTTAGATAATTGGAACTATATTGACTTATAATAATAATAATGCACAAATATAAATTTCACTTGGTACATTATGGGTCGAAACATTTCAAACTAAACATCTTGGTGTAACCTTTTATAAGTAAATCATTTTAGTATACAACCATTAATGCATTCTCAAATTAAAAAAAAAAAAACTTTCATAAAATGGATCAAAATAATACTGAAAATTGTGCAATAATAAAAGTGTCTTATTTCATGTACGTATTCTATATATTATACGTGTATATATATATATATATATATTCTATATATATATTTCTGTCTGTTTATCCTTTATGCATTCCTAAATGGTTGGACCAATTGCGACGAAATTTAGTACAGTGATATGGTAGACCTATGGGCAGAAGATAGGCTAAGTTAAAAAGTGACAGGCCCAACCCCAGGAAATGCTTGAGCAGAAATTTTGAGATTCACGATGGAAATTTTTGTTTATAGATGGTTGCTATTAGTTTCAATAATAATAATAATTAATGCCAAAGAAATTATTATTTTTTTTTATTACAATTTAATTATAATCGTTACAAGTATGTGGGCTGAATTTGGAAAATCCATGCTACTCACAACTATAGTGTACGCATCGAATAACCTTCTGATTTATTTGTTTACACGCCAGAAGAAAGAACAAAAAATATTGTGTATTCAAATGCACTTCAATAAATATCATTTAATTGAATACTTGAATTATCAGACTTCTCTCGATAAAACGAATAAAATTACATAATGATAAATTAATTGAATATCGTGGTAAGATTATTACGTAGTATATTATAACCGTTATCTATCTATATGTATAAAAATATACTTCTAGCATAATCACAGGTAACGAATTTAACACACAGTTTGAAACATATAAGAGGTAGAATTTTTAACGGATTACGAAGTGCACGGGTTCAACTAGTTTATGTATAAAAATTATTTATTATTTGTTATTAATCTTCACTTAAAATGAAAAATAAATACACAAAACTCCTAAAAACGGTAGTTAAATTAACTAATATTTACCATTTTGAAAATTAATGAGAGGAAAAGTAAAATATTAAATACTTAAGATTAAATTTCTATCGGCCATCTAATATCTGAGTTAAAAAAAAAAATTAAAATATAGTAAAATTATCAAAAAAACATCTTGAATATTTTTGTTTTTACTAACTTAGTCACTTAATAATTCTTAGTAATTAACATCCCTAAATTTGCATTCAATTGTTATTGATTCGCACTAAATAAGTAATATAAGTAATAAATAAAGTAAAAAATGTATAACTAAGTACAATAACTATACTTTAAACTGTGTAAACACAGAAAAAATTGTCTTAATCAATTTTACATTAAGTATATTAATAATAATAAATATGAATTACATACCTAGTACTTACACAATACGTCTAAGTAATAATCCGTATTTACTTTCAATTATAATTTTTTTTTTCTATATTTGATATGCCTTAAAAATATTTCAAGGATAATATTGATCGAATTTTTATTAACATCTTATTATTAATTTTCCAAAGGAAATCAAATGGTGTTGTTTGCAATCGTTATAATCAATAAACTTTTCAGGTTGTATATTCCTGATCAAAGTACAACTCTATAATTTACGTATGAAATATGTACTTATAAACTATAGACCCGGTCTTATTCTAACGGGCAGTACGACTCAAATTGGGTAGGTAGGTAGGAAAATCAAAAGAGTAGTTGACTATGAATATGGGCAGTGCCCATTGGGCACCTTATAAAAATGTAATTTTCCTTATAGAATGATTGAATTTCAACTGAATATTTGATATTTGTGTAATTTATAAGCCCAACCTAGTACTTAATAAGTAATACTTATGTAAGTTTACAATATTTGCTGCTTCGATAATTGATTAATCTATGAAATTTAAATTTAAATAGTAGTATAATGTATAACGGAAAAGATCCGTATTTTTTTTTAATATTTTACCACACGATGGTCAAAATTCTAAAATATCAATATACAATTTACTTGGGAAGGGAGTAAGTATTATAATCCACATAAATTTCATAAAACAAACTTTTCAATGTGTTTGGGCAATAGGTAAAAATCCTTAGAATAAGCCCTGCTATAGAAAATAGTTCATTGGCCTAATAGCCATACCGCATATCACAATATTTTAAGTACTTCAACTATACGAAAAGTTTCATTTCAGTTTTTATATCATTAAGTCATTTATTTAAAACTCCTATGATCCACTACCACCTATTCACAATGAACCATTCAACTTGTAACCATTTAAAAATAACTTGTTAACTTATAAAAAGAACTTGAAAACAATTGTCCAAAACGTAAATTCAATTAGTAATATTTTCTCGTCCGTTTTGCGGTACAACAATACAGTTGGATGGAAAACGACGGTCGGTAAATTCAAAACAAAAATACAACAAATATCGCCAAACACGTCACGTCGCCGACGATAATTTAATATAATATTATTATGTTGTATCTACAGTAACCACCTGCTTGAAGTATTGTTTCACGTCACATAATTTTATAAACATCGAAAACGAACTATTGAATGGTATCGATGGTTAAAACAATAAACACGGTAGCAAATCATCTAAAATTGCATATAATAATAACATTTTACGGGAAAAAACACGGATAGCGACGTCTTATGCTATGCGATGCATTCGGGCACTCTTCAGCTAGTGCTGTTATCGATTGGCATGTAAATAAGATTAACACGTCACCACTGGTGAATAATTACAATTATTTGTACATTTTAAGGAGAAATTGCGATTCGGTAAAAATGAAAAATCTGTTATATTAGTATTGTGTATTTCAAATAAGCCATAATATTTCATATTTGAAACTGCTTAATTTTTTTTTTTTTATGTAAAAAAATGTTTAAGTTCCCGGAAAATAATAAATAAATTAAAAAAAGCATGAAAAGCAAAAGTGTTTAGACATGTGATTTATTCTATTAATTAATTAAAATGTAAAATATTACGTGAACTTAAAAGCAATAATAAAGCTTCATTCGGAACCATTTTATGAATGCGAATAATTTATTTCGAATATAAAAAAATGATATCATACCTACCCCTATAATGTAACAAAATCATATTTTCATGTAATCAAGTTTTTATTTATGGGTCGGAACACAAAATCTATAAGAATTATAAATGTATAAGTCTATCAAAAGGAAAAATATTAAAGAACCAACAATAATCAATGTATATATATATATATTAATATTATTTATTTTACTATTTTACAGCTAAGGTTATTTATTAAATAATCTATAGTTGTATGTTAATAAACATTTAATATATAAAGTACTCTACCAAAAACATTACATTTTCTTTATAAACCGTTCAAATCACATATTATTAAATTGTAATGTAGCTTTAAGTATCAATTATTAGTTTAATCGTTATCTATTACCTAACACATATTATATTTTAATAAACCAAACAGTAAAGTTTAATATTGGTTTAAACACGCATTACAGTTAATCGTTTGTCTATGAGATAAGACAAGCGACGTCACGTCACGTTATTTTAAATTATCGACATACAAGTAAACTATATTAAATTTTAGTCAACAGAAATCTATGTACGTTAATAAATATATACAACTCTACTCATACGAAAAATTAGTTACCATTCGTTCTTCAACTGGGAATAATATGCATTCTGAATCTTTGTTGGAATACGTACTGGTTAATTATCGATGGGTGTTTGTAGTGTTCTTCCTTTTGCCTTGCACAGTGCTTGGAAAAATATGGACGATGTTGGAAAGAAGCCTGTGGTCACGACATTCTGGACTAAACCACGAAAAAAACCTGAAAAAAATTCAATATCAGGTAAGCAAAAGTAAATTGATTTCTAAAACCAAGTTTAATCATTAGTTTGACTGAACAGATATGGCAGAGAAATAAAAACGCACCCAATCAAGTGATGTGTACAGCTAGACCAAGTTGGAGAAGTATGACTATATCCAATATGGTTTACAAGAAATTTATGTTCAATATAAATGTTCATTTAGATGGAATAATTTCAATCAATAATAAAACTCAAGTAACAACAGAAATACAAATTTAGATTTATATATATATATACAACAATAATTTAATTTTGTGTTATATGAACGAATTATTCTGAGTTAAATCATTTTTTTTTTCCGTTTATATATATAGACTGTGAGGGTAGAACCAGGCATTACAATGGGCCAATTGATTCCGATATTAATCCAATCTGGGTGGACAGTACCCGTAGCTTTGGATATGGAAGACTTAACAATCAGTAGATATTTAAAAAATGACTGAAATACCTATTTAAAAGATTATATTTATTTTAAATATCTAGGTGGCCTTATTATGGGCATCGGGTTGGAATCGTCATCCTTTAAGTATGGATTATTTCATGAAACATGTATACGTTATGAACTTATTACTGCGGATGGAGAACTGATAACGTGTTCAAAAGTAGTTATTTAATTATTTTGTGTATATTATTATTTAAATATTTATATTTAGTTTTGTTAACATTATTACACAGACAAAGAACGCAGACATTTTTGAATCAATACCATATTCATATGGCACTCTAGGATTTTTAACAGCTGTTGATATTAAAATAATTCCAGCAAAAAAGTATTTAGATAAGCCATAATTCAAATTTCAAAATTATTTAACTAATTTAAAACCTTTTAGATATGTAAAACTCAAGTATCGCCCAATTCGCGGGTTAGAAAAAATGCAATCTCGGCTCATCACTGAAACTAATGATTTAGAAAACAATGATTTTGTCGAACTATTAATTTACAATAAAGACGAAGGTGTCTTGATGACTGGTAAAATGACGGATGGCGATGAAAATTTTGTAAAATTACATTTATTATTAGATACAGTGACACTTATTTAAAAATTAATTATTTTTATTTAGAAATATATAAATAGAATTGGTTATTTTTATAAACCATGGTTTTTTAAACACGTTCAATCGTTTTTAATGATATGGAAATATGGCGAAGAATACATTCCTTTGAAAGATTACTACTTTAGACATAATAGATCTTTATTTTGGGAAATACAAGTAATGTAATTATAATAGTGGTAAATATCATAAACTGAACATAATTTTGGTTCTGTACATTTTTAGGATATAATACCATTCGGAAACCATCCAATTTTCCGTTATTTGCTGGGATGGTTAATGCCAGCAAAAGTGGCTTTACTAAAATTAACACAAACCGATACTATTAAGAAACTGTACGATAAACATCATTTTATCGATGATTTCATAGTACCTATTTCTGGTTTTAAATTATCAATAGAAACTTTTCACCAGAGCCTTAATGTAAGTATAACTAAATATCGTTAGTATAAACATTATTGCTAATATTATACTAATAATAATACACTTGAATTTAATTAAAATTACTATTTTTATGGATTTAGATCTATCCAATTTGGGTGTGTCCTGCTATTCTACGTCCGGGAAAAGGTTTGATGCATTCATATGGCACGGTAGATAAAATGTACATCGATATTGGTTTATACGGTGAGCCTAAAGTCCCCAATTACAATTCAACTATTACGAGGGATTTAGAATTATTTACACTCAATTTTAAAGGGTAAGTAAATGCCTGTCTTCAAAATACATTGCACAGTAAAAATCAAATAAAAAAACAATTATTTTTTTTTAATTTAGTTTTAAAATGATGTACGTTGGTACATATCTGAATATAAATGAATTCAAGACAATGTTTGATCATCGCTTGTACGAAAAAACAAGACAAAATCTTAAATGTCAATCAAAATTTCCAGAAATATACGACAAAGTGAATAAAAAAGTTAGAATATAGTCATAAAACTGTTTTATTCAAATAATATTCAATGCCACAATAATAGTGCATTAATTATAATAGTGTTATTTTATTTTTTATCATTTACAGTTAATACCGGAATAACAAAATTAATTATTAATTTACATTAATTTTACAGCCTTTTATTTTTGTTGGTAATCATGATAAAATGTAATATACCATTATTTATTCATTTTTTTATAAATATTTTTCCTATTTATTAAATAATACACACTCACCTAATTATACTAATCGTTATTTTTGTTTTTGATTTCATTTTAAATGTTATTAAATAAATTTAAATACAATTTATATACTCGTATGTACAAAAAGGTAAAAGAGGTACATGATTCTCCAGTAATATTTCTGTTGTTTAAATTCCTTGCATTAATTTTAATTGAACACTTATTTTTTTAATTTTTTAAGGAAACGTTCATAATAATTTTAATTTCACTATCTTCTTTGCTAGAAAAACCTGCTCCTTTATTATGAATACATAAAATTGAACATGGTACATAATTTTAATTGTCAAGATTAATTATTTATGTAAAAATTGTATACTTGTAAGTATTATACTAAATAATTAAAAACACTTAATAAAGTAATAAATAATATTTTTATCGAAATTTAAATTGGCGAATTAATTAGCATTTAAAAATAAAAATTTAAAAAATGTTTGCAATTAATTACCATGTATCATGTATTGGTAGGTATATTATTAACATTAAAACATAATAGTAATTTTAGTTGGTGTAAAAATGTATTAAATTTATTTTAATTTACTTAAAAATTATGCCCCTTGGTTTATTATATGCCCGATAATAGTTTTGACTAGTAATTAAATTAATTTAAATTTTATAATGTGCTACTATAAATAATTTATTAGAAAAAAATGTATACTAAATGTTACCTAATTTTAGCAAAATATCAATATGATTTACCATTTCTGGACAAAATATACAATCATTAAATAATCAATTATACATCAGTAAATTAACAGGAATCCCTGTATGAATCAAAAATAATTACATTATAACTAAGTAATGAACTCTTTAAAATAAAAGTTCAAGGTGAAAATGCTTCAGCTGGTGTTGATTACGTCTACACTTCAAACAAGATTTGGTTTACTGAATTCAAGTAGTAATATGTTTGCAAACACTAAGTCCTTCAGTTAATTTCTGTTGGCCTATATTTTAATTTTGATTTTGTGTATTAAGCACATTTTAAAGTTAAACTCGATATTTAATAAAATACAATTTTCATACTTTTCAAATCAATAAAATTAGGTCATAATTGTATTTTTTACTACAACGCACATTCACTATATTATTAAATATATAAGCCTTTTAATTGATAGTACAATGTATAAGCTATCATCTAGAACAGCGTTTCCCAAACTTTTTTCTGCCAGACCCCTTAGAGATAATAAAAATGATCGTGGACCCCTTAGCACAAATAAAAATTAAAAAACAATAATAAATAATAATACTTTGTATGTTTTAAATTTACGTTCGCGGACCCCATTCGGTAGACGTGCGGACCCCTATGAGTCCGCGGACCACAGTTTGGGAAATGTTGATCTAGAATGTAAAACATATAAAGAATTGAATAACGAGCAAAATAAATGTCTTTTTTTTTTTTGTTAGAACTAAAAATTTATCAGCTTCTATAATTTATTATTGTGTACATAACAACATTTACATGCAGAGGCGTTTCCAGAAGGAGGTTTTGGGTGGGGGTTCAAACCACCCCCAAATTGACTTTTTTAATTTTTTTATCTTATAGGTATTATTTATAAAATAAAAACATCTATTTTAATATATTGCACAGTCACAGTGAAATATAAAATTATTTATCAATATTTGACTAGCCTTAAATGCACATATTGCATTTTATTTTGAAATAGCCATGTTGTTTACTTAAATCTAAAGTATGTGGGCTTAATGGTTTTAAAAAATTTTAATCGGTGGAAAAATGATAAATCAAAGTTGAAATCCTTCAAAGTAAGAATTCAAATGAAAAATTTTAAATAATATTAGAAAATGATTTCGTCTAACTTGAGCTATGCGACATTAAAATTTTAGGTAAAAAAATAAATAAAATAAAAAACAATGTAATCGGAGTGGTGTACCATTAACTTCCACTTTAAAATATTATAAAATATCTATAGTATTCATTATAATAATATGCATATCATATTTTTATCATACTTGTATATTATTACTATATTATTATATTTTATTATCTCGTCTGACTGGCCATTTCGTAAATCATAAAGAAATTTATAATAACGTTAAAAAATTAAACCCCTCGCCCAAACGAAATCCTAAGCACGCCTCTTTTTACATACAGTTATAAAATATACTAAAATAATACATCTTATGATTATTATTAAACTGAAATATTGTGTTAACAAATCACATTAAATGTTTACCAAAATACACCAATACTTACGATTATATTATTTTTCCATTGCCAATTCCTAGATTTTGTCATTTAGTCTATAAATATATTGCATTTGTAAATATAAATGATATATATTATAAATACAGTGGCGTATCCAGAATTTTTTTTTTGGGGGTTATAAAAAATGTAACATTAAATTTTTTTTGAATTTTGTATGTTTTTATTATAACCAAAGGACAATATACATACACTAAACATTTTCGGGAGGGGGTTATAACCCCCTAACCCCCCTGGATATGCCACTTATAATTATAATTATATATAATTGTATATAAATGATATATATGATACAGTTGCCAAGTTATAACTTAGCAACTACAATGAAAACTATTACGCTAATATAAACATATTGGCAGTTGAAATTTAGAATTTACGAAATTAACGAAATTTACGAACGATTTTATTTTAACTACTTTTTATATACTTAACCATCGCATCAGATAAAACCAGATATCTATACTATGGACACGAGTAAGATCAATCTGGTGATTGACGTGATCGATAACGCTCTGAACGATGATACCATGTTATGGTACCCTTTGTTCAGCTGGGCCGAAAAAAAAACGGGAGTCAGCCGATTCAGATTGTTGCTGGTTATATTATGTGTCATATCGTTGAACATATTATTCAAAGTTGGATTGATATTCATCAGCAACACGGTCAGCTTCGTGTACCCGGCTTACCAGACGATCAAAATATTGGAGACACAGTGGCCACTGTGGACATTTTCCAACATACAAAGCATTCAATGGTTAATGTATTGGATGATTTATAGCGTGATCATGATTTTAGAACAATCGCTGAAATTCATCCTGGTGCTTGTGCCGTTCTATCAACTCATCAAGGCTGTGTTCCTCGTATGGTGCTTTTTACCCATCAAAAACAACGGATCGATATTTATTTACAGTGTATATCTTATCAGAAGTCATGATTATGATTGACGGATAGCGTGAGTTAAGAGCTCGAGTTTACTCTGAATAGTCAAATATTTGATTTATAAGAGTATACAGTGTGTTCATGCTAAAAGGTACCACTAAACATTTCAGCTGGATTATCTTGTATTTAAATGGGGTTTTTGGGAAATGAAAGGGAATAAAAGTGAGTACAACTTACTTTTCTTTAAACGGCAACATTATATTTTTTTATATATTCAGGTAGAGCATTTTTTTTTTTTATTAACAGTTTTGGTATAAAAGATTCTTTTATAATTACAAAATTGGCCAAGTTATAGTATGTTGAAATTTAAATTTACGAATAATTTGTTTTTGACAAAATTTTAACTAAATTCAGCTTATTGTTACTTAAAAATCGAAATATCATTATATTGTTATATACCTGTTTGTACACAGATAAAAATAAACAATTTTTTCATCGTAATTTGCTCTAATTTTTACCATTTATTCTTCTAAAATAAGATAGCTAATTGAAGGTAATGAAAATTATATCTTATATATGTATAAATATTTAACAATATCGGAAATATTATTTCGATTTTCAAGTAAAGATAAGTTGAATTTTGTTTAAATTTCGTTAAGAACAGATTATTTGTAAATTTAAATTTCAACTATAACTTTGCCAATTTTGTAGTTATAAAAAAAAACTTTTTACATAAAAATTGTATGAAAAAAAATACTCTACCCGAATATGTAAAAAAAATATGGTAATGTTGTTTAAAAAAAAAATAAGTTGTATCACGCATACCACACCAACAAGTTAAAAAATTTGAAATTTATCTGAAATTGTGTATTTTGGTACTCCTTTTCATTTCCTGAAAACCCCATTTAAATACAAGGTCATCCAGCTGAAATATTTAGTGGTACCTCTTAGCGTAAGAACTCTGTATACTTGCTAGCGATAAACGGATATTGAATTAATAAAAGTATTATTGATAGATATTGTATATAATCGTCAACATGACTATTAGATTTTTATGTGCCATATCATTAAGCCACATTAAACGTTTATATTTAAATTTAAATTTTTGGGCTTAAGCCGGCCAGGAAAACAACTTAAAATTTTTATTTGTATAAAAACAAACAAATATTTTACCATTTTCTTGCACAAGTTATTATAAGCATTTCATAGTATTTCAATTTAAAATTGAATAATCAGGGCCTTCCCAAGGTTTTTCGTGGTCAGGAACAAATTAATTTGAGGGCCTTTCGACTTTGATAATAGGATATAATAAACAAAAATACTCACCGAGAATAACAAAATTCTTGCAAACGTATTTTTCTAAACTTTAACCAATCAAGCTCATTTAAATTCATGTAATGCATTAATTACATACTCTTACATACTTACATAATATAATTGAATATTGTTCATATTATTTAAAATTTAATCAGACAAGTCGCTATACGCTCATACGCGTGCGACTTTAATCGTCGACACACAGCGTGTAAAATTGCTCAGTGTAATCGAGGTTTTATTATTAATTATTTTACATCAAGACTTTATGGAGCTCCCCTAAAAAATATTCCAACCATGGGGCCTAGAACAAAATGGTACCGTTTACCCCCCTTTAAACGGTTCTGCGAATAATTATTATTAATATATAATAAATGATAATGCTTTACTTATTACACCAACCTGTTTGACTATTATGAACTGTCACTGCTAAATACTCTTATTTTTAATATATATTATATCGTACAATGAATACAAATAAATCATTTTATTCGTACCGAGACGTTTTAAACCAAAATTAAAACATGGTATTTAAAAAATTATTGAAATGCATAATATATATAGATGGATACATTCTCCTATGCTTGAAAGGTTTATATAAGCACTACAAAAAAGTATATGTAATTTAAAAGCAAATACGTCAAAGGCGGAGAGGTTAAAAATAAAAATATATAAAAAAAAATAAAAGTTTAGATAGGTACAATCTTTTTGAAAAAATAACCTTAAAAAACCCCTTTTATGAAATTCTAACATATAAAGTACAAGAATGGAAGATAAGTCTGGTGGACAAAGTTTTTTTTATTTCACTGACGCATTTAACTTATATTTCCTATGATAATAGGTATCATTAATATTACGACATATCTACTTATTACCTACTTTTAAAGATTAAACTATAAGTATAGATATAATTAAAAAAAAAAAAACAATTAATTAACCGTTTTATTTTAAAGCCATTAAACATCATAATTTTAAAAATATTTAATTCTGGATACAAATACATAGTTCTCCATATTTATATTTTAAGAAATCATATTTAGAATATTATTTTTACAACCCTGATTTTTTATTTTTTTTTTAAATATATCATACTTATGTTCATAATAAATTGTCCCATCAAAGTATTCCAGCGTCATCATGAATAGTTCATTTTAATTAAAATTTTTTCCCATTGTTTTCATTTTCTTAAAAACAATGAACTACCTTTGATATTATTTTCGAAATACAAACATAATAAAAGATGATAATTACTATGCTGATAACGCAATAAACGTGCAAAAGTTGCAACGAAAAGTAATTTTGTTATTTTACGTTAATACACCGTCTTTAAGATGAAGTGTTGAGTATCTTATTGTGTTAAAAATTATATTTAGTTCACCATAATTCTCTAAAATACTAATTTTGTTTTTTATTTATTTAGAAAATGCATTACTTAATATTACTCCTGAACTTTATGACACTCCTCGATCAATATCATATATATATCAATGTGTATATTCTAGTGAATCTTATAAATACATATTTATTAACAACGTTCTATTATGCTGCATGTCCCACAAAAATACACTAATTTTAAGTGTTAAACTAATACTGATTTATTTACAATACTCCTCCAAACTACCGAAATCATGAGATACCAAATAATATGTTTCTAAATTGGGTTAGTTTACTTTGAGTTATAATACGAGTACACTGAATACTGGACATCAAGTTATATATCTCAAATAACTTTATACAGCAGAAATAACATTTTCCCGTAAAATGTGTGTATACTCTTACATGATAGTAATCAAACTTTCACCGTAGTATAAAATGTTCAGTAAAATAAACGTTTTATGTATATTTAGTAGGTTTAAATGAAAATAAAAACTATTAGAAGAAGGTATGTAGCTGAAAAAAATCCGACGTTAGTATAAGTATGCTATTATGTAAGTAGTAAGTACAATCCATCGTTAATTACAATTTCTCGAGTCTATTTTGGTGAATATCTTGTATTTGTACTTATAATGAAACAAGCATTAACTTGAAAATACAAGTTTTTAAACAAATCCTGCTATTAAGAAACTATCAATAATACATACAAATAAAAGCATTATCATAGATAGAACTTTTAATAAATACACATTTTAACATGATTTAACTTTTTTAGTTCTTCTTGTATTTAATTAAATTTCTTATAACAATATATCTTAAAAAAATATCACTCCTTTAGAGAATAGCTTATTTTTCGATGTGTATATATTGATAAGTATTCAACGGTTTTCACCATCAAAATGGCAAGAAAAGGTTTTGGCATCAAATATTTATATATATATATTTTCAAAAGCTTATAACAAATGTAAATAAATATAATCAAGTTATTTGCCAGAATAACGGATAAAATGCGTATTCTATTGACATCCATTTTTCGTGTATGGGCGATTTTTTTTTCGTACTATCTTTTTGTGCCACAGTTACTGAGCGCTGACGTATTAAACGTAGGACCTAATCAAATTCCAAATATTGCATTTGACCAAACGAAGAAAGATATAACTAACCAAAGGTATATAGAAGGAAGCAGTAGGACAAATTCTAAAAGAATGTAATCAGAACCCAGTAATGGTACTTTTGATAAACAAAACGATAAACTTTTTTAAAAATCGTGAATGACATAGACCATTAATGGTTAGTCCAACAAAAAATTACGTTTTACCATTGAATACAAAAATGATCAAATGGTTTCAAAAAATACAGTGTATATTTTTTGTCGATATTGTTCAGCAATGAAATACAAAAATTAATCCAACGGATTAAGTTGTTTAAATTTTAAAATTAAATTAAACAAAATGTTTCTCGTATTTAAGTATTAACTTCACTACTTTAAGGTAACCCTGAATAGATAATTTAAGTGTTATGTCCCCAATAATAATTCTTTTCAAATTGCATAATTTAAAAGTTGTTAGGTAGTGGAATGTTTAAAATTCAAGACTAGTTGTACTCTTTCATCTGGCTGGTAATATGCTTCCAAACCGATCATACTGTTACAAATTTTAGCAGATAAGCATTGTTTCCAATCCTAATACCCAATATAACATATATTCTAAAAAATCATCGGATAGTATATTAGTCAGATCGTTAAAAAATATGTTGCTCTCGTATAACATACTCGTATATGTTAGCGACAATGTGTATAATTATGACATTTTATATAATGTCTAAGAATTGTTTGTAATACCGAACATATTCGGCAATCTATAAAATTACTTAAAAACCTAGGCATTATATGAAATGCCAAATAATGTATAGGTAATATGTTAAATACATTTTATCGACATTAATAATGTAATATCGAAAAGTTATGATGGTTTCTAACATTTAAGAGATAATGTGAATAATTAATTACAACAGCACTCATACACTTTATTTTTAATTTTCACATTTCAGTCTCCCATAAAATGTCGTGCATGAATAATCGAGTGTACCATATGAAATATCGTTTCAATACTAAGTTATTAAAATTATAATATGGTATAAAAATAGTGTATTATATGTAATAATGTATGTCTTCTGTAATAATTGCTATTTCTTAATTGATAATATTTTTATACCAATAAAATTAATTGTTTTTAGTTTAGTTACTTAGTGTCATAATAAAAAAAAATGAATTTTTCTATTCTGCACTTTGCACCTATGTTGTTCACAATTTTATAAAATGCTTAGTTATTATGTAAAATACCTAGAAAATGTACGTAAAAATATTAATATTATATAC